TCTTGTTTCAGCTTTGTTAATTCATATGTATCTAGAAATCTGTCCATTTCTTCTGTATTTTCCATCTTATTAGAATACAGGTTCTCAAAGTATGTATTGATGATCTTCTAGATTTCTGCAGAATCTGTTGTGATTTCACCATTTTCATTCCTAATTGCATCTTGAGTCTTTTCTTTCCTTTTTTTTATAAGGTTGGCTAAGAGCTTATCAATTTTATTTAATCTTTGAGAGAACCAACTCTTTGATTTATTCATTCTTTATATTGTTTTCTCAGTCTCAATTGCATTGATTTTTGCTTTCATCTTTATAATTTCCTCCTTTGAATGATCTTTGGGCTTGACTTGCTCTTCTTTTTCTAGAAGCTTGAGGTTCAACATTAGATTGTTTATTTGACCTTGCTCAATTTTTCTGATATGGGAATTCACTCCTATAAATTTCCCTCATAGTACTGCTTTCATTACACCCCGTAAGTTCAAGTATGTTGTATTGGCACTGTCATATAATTGTAGAAACTGCCTGATTTCTCTTTAATTTCATCTGGGACCCACTGTTTTTTCAGGAGGGTATTTAATTTCCATATGTTTATGCAGTTCTTGAGATTTCTTTTGCCATTGATTTCCAATTTCATTGTACCATGGTCTAATAACACGTATGGTATAATTTCAGTTCCTTTGCATTTACTTATGTGTGTCCTATGAATTAGTATGTGGTCTATTTTGGAAAATTCCCCATGTGCAGCTGAGAAGAATGTGTATTCTAATGTTATGGGGTGGAACACTGTAGACATCTACTGAGTCCATTTGTTCAAATTTTTGGTTCATTTCTAATATTTATTTGCTGATTTTCTTGTCTAGTTGATTTATCTATTTGTGGCAGTGGAGTGTTGAGGTCCCCCATTACAATTATATTACTGCTTATTTAATTTCTCATGTCCATTAATATTTGTTTAATATAGTTGGGTGTGCTGGTATTTGGTGCACATATATTTATGATTATCTCATCTTCTTGGATTATTGCCTTTACAAGAATGTCATGACCTTCTTTGTCTCTTAATCAGTCTTGGTTTGAAATCCACTTTGTCTGTAAATAGAATAGCTACCCTTGCTTTTTTCTGGGTTCCTATAGCATGGAGTATTGTTTTCCATCTTTTGACTTTCATTCTATGAATTTCTTTTGAATTAAATGTGTTTCTTGTATGTAACATATTGTTGGATCTTACTTCTCAATCCATTCTGCCAGTCTGTTTCTTTTGATTGGTGAATTGAGACCATTTACACTGATGGTTATAACTGATATGTATTGATTTACGCTTGTCATGTTATTTTCTTGTTGTTGGTTCCCTTTTTTCCTCCCTTTTGTGTAATTACTTGCCTTGTCTGGGGGATTCTTTCTGCTGAGGTTCACGGAATTGTGGTCCTCCTTATCTCTTTCTAGAATGTCCTTCATAACATTTTGGAGTGCTGGGTTGGTGGTCATGAATTTCTTCAAGTGTTCTTTGCCAAGGAAGTATTTTATTCATCAATTTTGAAACGGTTTTGCTTTGTACATCAATCTAGGTTAGAAATTATTTCCTTTTAGGGCTTGAAAGACTTCACTTCAACCTCTCCTTGACTTGAACGCTTAATGTCAAGAAGTCACCTATGGGCCGGGGATTTAGCTCAGTGGTTTTGCTGCCTGTTGTGCAAGCACAAGGACCCGAGTTCAATCCCCGGTACCAAAAAAAAAAAAAGAAAAAAAAATGTCAGCTGTGATTCTGATGGGTTTTATAGGTGATTTGTTTCTTTTTTCTAACAGCTTTTAATATTTTGTCCTTGTGTTGAATTTCTGGAATCTTGACTATTATATGCCTTTGCATAGATTTTTTTTTTATCACTGCTAGTTGGAGTTTTATATGCATCACTTATCTGCATATCAAATTCGTTTTCCATGCTTGGGAACTTTTCTGGCATTTCATCTAAACAAGTTTTTAATGTCATTTGCATGATCTGCTTTTTTGACTTGGATCAATCTTATTCTTCTGTACATCATTTAGCTGCTGTTGCATTGATTTTTTGTGGTCCCTTGCTCTTTTTATGAAATTTTTCTTTTCATGATAATTAACTGCAATCCTGTCTTCTATATCTGGTATTATGTTCTCACATTGGCTCATTCTGTATATACTTTCAATGGAATTTTTAATCTCCTGGATATCTGTTTGAATGTGTTTCATGGATTCCCTTTCTTTCCTATGTTGGGCATTCATGATACTCATCAGTATTGTAAGCTCTTCTATTTTGTTTTTTAATCTCTATCTGCTCTTAAGTCACTCACCATGTCTTTCATTATGTTCACCATCTCTGTAGTTATCTGAGAAACTATTTGTGATTTGATTTTTTTCTACAGCCTCATTTGTCTGCTTTGTTACTTCCACTGTCCAGGTGGGTGGGTTTTGAATTGTTGCACCTCATTACCCCCTGGGTTTGCCTTTGGTGAGTGGGAAGTTTGGGGTTGCATCTTGCTTAAGTATCATATATATGTGTGTGTGTGTGTATATATATATATATATATATGTTTAATTTCTGGGTTAATGCCTATAAATTGCTTATGGCAGGTAGCTTTTTTTGCTGATATTTATTTATTTATTTTTATTGCTAGTATTTAGAACCCTTAAGAAATGACTACTTCTCAGAGATGTCTTCCAGGTATAGCTGGCTTTTGAGTTTTAAACCTGCTGCAAGATCCTCCCTCTTCAGTTTATTGGGGATGAGAAGTTGCTATTTGGCCTAGCCCCCAGTTGTTTGGCACTGGCGTATAGTATTGTTTATGGCCAATAGGCAGTCAATCTTGGCATACCAGGAAGAACAACTGATTAGAACAATTATGTCACCTTGTCTACAGTAGTACAATTAGCAGTAATAATAGCATCAAACAGACCCTAGCATCAGACATTGTCATTTTCGACAAAGTGGGGCTGGGGATGTAGCTCAGTGGTGCTTCAGCTGCCTGGCAAGCACAGGGTCCTTAGTTTGAGTTCTATACCAAAAAAAAAAAAAAAAGAAATGACAAACTGTGGTAACTATTAATTTCCCATCTTTAACCATATGAACTATATTTGTGGTTATATAACAAAATCTAAAACAAAGCAGAAAATTGTATACAGTAAATATGCCCCCCAATATGGTGATTTTACCCTCGGGAGAAAATTTAAAAGGGGTTAGGGGGAAAAATAGAGAAATAGAAGAGGAAGAGATTAGAAGCAAGGCTGGAGGAGAAAGGAAAATTACGCTTGGGAAACTGGTGAAGACAAGAGGGAGGGGCTGAGGATTTAGCTCATTGGTTTCACCGCCTGCTGCTCAAGTGCAAGGACTGGAGTTCAGTCCCCGGTACCAAAAAAAAAAAAAGACCAGAGGGAAAGAAAGATGGAACAAATAAAAGTCGGAACAGAACAACAACAAACACTAGAAACAGTGTTCATAGTCATATAAAAACAAGAACAAATAATCAAGAACAAAACAAAAACTGTTGCTGGGAGTTTAGCTCAGCAGCACCATGTCTGCCTCATAAGTGCAAGGTCCTGAGTTCAATCCCTGGTACCAGAAAAACCCAAAGAACAAAAAAGAATAAAACTGTTCCTTGCAGGGCGTGTCTGTGCTGTCACTGGTAGACAGAGTGGGCAGACAGAGCCCAGGGTGTTTATTAATCCCAGTAAGCCAGCTGTAGATTTACATTGAGATGGTGGATACTGCCAGCATGTCTGCACCTTTAGTTCCACTGAAGTTCAGGCTGATTTCTGGCTATAAGGCTGCAACCTGATTTTTTTTCTTTTCTTTTCTTTTCTTTTTTTTTTTTTTGGTACTGGGGATCAAACTCGGGTCCTTGCGCTTGCGCAGCAGGCTGCGAAACCACTGAGCTAAATCCCCAGCCCTGCAACCTGATTTCTTAAGCCTACAATATTCTGTGTGCTTCCTCCTGGCTTGATCTTGGCTCCTTGACTTCCTGTCACCTTGAACTCAGTTCTGCCTCACCCTGGCACCCGGAGCCCCTAAATGGAGCCAGCCCACAGTTACTCTGAGTTTGGAGCTTTGTTGGCCCCTCTCCAAGATGGCTACTGGCCAATTGCCCTCTTCTGGGAGGCATCTGAATGCAAATAACTCACCGGCCATTGCAGTCTGCTGCGTCTACTGCACCTTCCAGTCGTCTCTTTCTCTGTGGAGGCCTTTGGGGCCTCATCAGTAGTCACTGTGCATCTGCAGGCTTGAGCTACCCTTCCCATGCAGTGAGTCAGGGCTCAGGGAAAAAGCGCTGCTTGCCACCTGCTGCTTCTCTCTCTTCACTCTCCTCGTGGGCTTCAATTCTCGCTTCACATCCTTGCTTGGTCCTGAGGCCCCACTTCCCTCTTCTTTTCCATCATTTTTCCAGAAGTGTCTCCTTTTTTAAAAAAAAAAAAGAAATAAATAACTTATTTTTTTTAAGTTCTCATTCAAGTAACAGCGTTTACTCTGATACAAAAGATTGTGGACCCATTTACAGATTTATAGTAGAAGGCAGGCACAGTGGCATGTGCTTGTAGTCCCAGATGTTTGGGAGGCTGAGACAGGAGGATCCTGTGAACCCAGGAGTTATGGGTCAGCCTGGGCAACATAGACCCCATTCTTAAGTTAAAAAAATTCCACAAATTGCAAACTGGCAGTCCTTGAATGCTTTTGGCTCACAGATGTATTTTGTCTGATATTCTCATAGCTGCCTGTACTTCAGTGGTGTCTGCACTATATAGACAAGGAACGTAGTTTCCAGTTTGCCATAATTCCTACTTCTCCCTATTGTTTACCCAACAGGCTAAATGTTGGCTGCTATGTCATTGTGATTTTTTTTTTCACGTTTGGCCTCTTCATTCACTTATGATGTTTTTCAGGCTGTAGTGGGAATTTCATTTTAAGAAAAATTTAAAAATTAAATTTAAAAGTTATAGAATTGCTAAAGACTTCTCATCACTTGTTAATGTGGTCATTTTCTTAACATAGTGTCTTCATTGGCTGCTCTGGCATGGAGCTGATATCACACAAGTAACTACAAGAGGCTGGACAGCAGCTCACATAGCTGCAATCAGGGGTCAAGATGCTTGTATGCAGGTAATAACAACTTTGGTTGCTTTTTATCTTTTTTAATTCAGTGAGTTAGATTAGCATAGTTCTGTTGGGCTGTTGCTATAATTCTAATTATATGACCCAATAGATGTAGTTATATAGTCTAAATAAGAACTTACTGGATTCCAATGACACAGATTTTGATACCAACTATACATTTAAACAAATAATATGGGATCAGAAGTCCCTTAATCTCTTAAGTAGTTGACTGTTTGGGTTATTTTGAGAGACATCACAATGATGTTCAGATTATTTGATTTGCAGCTTGCTGCTGTGTTCTAAATGTTTGTGTTCTCCCATAATAAATATGTTGAAATCTTTACCCTCAAGGTGATGTTACTGGGGTGTGGGCACTTTGGGGAGGTTAGTAGGTCATGGGGGCTCTGCCCTCATAAATGGGATTACTTCCTTGGTAAAAAAAAAAAAAGATCACAGAAAGCTGGTTAGCCTCTTCATCTAAGGATGCAGTGAAAAGTTTCTGTTTATGTGGAAAAGACCATTACAGACATAGAATCTGCTAGCACTTTGATCTTGGACTTCCCACCATCTAGAACTGTGTGAAATAAATTTCTCTTATTTTAAACTTCTTAATTTGTAATATTTCATTTTCTGTTTTTCTTCAAATATTATCTTTTATTAGTACATGTTTACATCACATAATGATTACTTTCCTTGTGGAGAGTTGGTGCATGTACATAACACATCTCACTTCATTTTTCATCCCCTCTTCTGGTACCCTCTCCCTCCATCTCTTGGTCCCTTCCCATTTGCAAAAGATCTATTTCCCTACTTCCTATTATCTGTCTTTTATTTTGCTTTATCTTTATAGTTTGGGTTTCTTATATAAGAGAAACCATGCAATATTTAAGTTTGTGTGTCTTGTTTCACTTCATAGTATGGTCTTGAGGTGCATCCATTTTCTCACAAATGACTCGTTTATTCTTCTTTAAGGCAAAGTAGTACTCCATTGTGTATAAGTACCATGTTCTCTTCATCCATGCATCTGTTGATGGACATATAGGCTGCTTCCAAGATGTAGCTATTATAAATTGTGCTACAGTGGGTATGCATGTATCACTGTGGCATGATGTCATTAATTCTTTTAGGAAGATACCTAGAAGGGGAATACTGGGTTGAATGCAATTTCTAGTTCTAGTTTTTTGAGGAATCGCCATACTGATTTCCATAGTGATTATACTAGTTTATATTCCCACTAACAATGTAGAAGGATTTCTTTTTCACACAGCCTTACCAGCATTTATTATTATTTGATTTCTTTTGGGTTTTTTTTTTTGTTTTTTTTTTTTTTTTTGGTACTGGGGATGGAACTCGGGTCCTTGTGCTTGCAAGGCAGTCAGTGGAACCACCCCGGCCCTATTATTTGATTTCTTGATGATGGCCATTCTTTCTAGAGTAAGATGGAATCTTAGTATTGTTTTAATCTACATTTCTCTAATGGCCAGAGATGCTGAACATTTTTTTCATGTATTTATTGATCATTTGTATTTCTTCAGAGAAGTGTTTGTGCACTGCAGTTGCCCATTTTTTTGGTTGGATCTTTTATTTTATTTTGGGGAGTCTATTTTTTTTTTTTTTAACCAGGAATCGAACTCAAGGACTCATGCTTGCCAGCCAGACACTGCACCCCTAAGCTACATTCCTGCCCCTTGAGATCTTTATATTTGATATTAGTTCTCTACTTGAGAAATGGCTGCCAATTTTTTTTTCCCATTCTGTAGGTTATCTCTTCATTCTGTTGGTTGTTTCCTTTGCTGTGCAAAAGCTTTTTAATTTGCTAGGAACCCATTCATTCATTTCTCTCTCTCTCTCTCTCTCTCTCTCTCTCTTGAGACAGGGTTTTGTTTGTTTGTCTTTTTGTTTGTTTTTGAGACTGGGTCTTGCTATGTAGTTCAGACTGACCTTGACTCACTATGTAGCCCAGGCTGGCCTGGAACTCACAGCAATCCTCCTGCCTCAGCCTCCCAAGTGCTGGGATTACAGCCATGCACCACCACACCCACCTTGATTCTTGATGTTATTCTTGTGCAGTTAGGGTTCTATTCATAAAGCTTTTGTCTATGAATAGTACTTTCTTATAGCAGAATGAACAGACTAAGATATTTGCCATGCCTGAAATTGCTTTTTTTTTTTTTTTTGAGATAGAGTCTCATTATGTCATCCAGATTGACTTTGAACTTGCTGGGTTGCCCAGGCTGGCTTCATCTTCCCAAGCGCTGGGATTACAAGTGTACAGCACCATACCTGCCTTGAAATTCTTAATTTAATGTATTTCCTGACCTGGGTGCCACATTAATATGTGGCAGAATCTAGTTTAAATAACTAGATTTAATCAATGTACTGAAATAGGCTGGTGTTTGGAGGAATAAAGTCATATAAACAAGCAGTTCTGGTTTATAATAAGCCTGAGATTCTATTTGAAATGACTAGAGCTCTCCTTCATGAGTTACAAAATAATAAAACCAAAGTCCATTATTAAATTTCTAATGAGAAGTATAAATGTGAAGAATTGTTTAGGGGCCAGGGATTTAGCTCAGTGGCACCATGCCTGCCTCACAAGCACAAAGGTCCTGAGTTCAATCCCAGGTACCAAATAATAATAATAAAAAGAATTGTTTAACTTTGAGGAGGTAGAAGAATTATGCGTGGAAGAGATAAAACAGCAGCCAAGCCTCAAAGTATAGATGAATTTTAATTTTGGAGAGGTAAGTAGTGAGAAAGCATTGTAGGAAGGGAATATGTTAAGAGGATATAAAAATGATTATCATCTGTTGAACAGTATGTGTCATTTACACTCTCCATGCATTTCATGTAACACAATAATTCTATGAATTCTCCTTTTTATAGATTATGAAATAGAATCAGAATGTTAAATGTTTTGTTGTAGGCAAGTGACAGAGCCAGGATTTGAACCTGAGGAAGGGTACTGACCCTGCCCAGTCAGGGTTCAAAAGTCCCATCCTGACTGATCTAAAGGAGATAAAAGAAGATGGGTTTTGTTGTTTGATGTACCATCCTCCTTGGATAGTCTGGAAAAGAATACAAGAACTGGGGCCCGGCGCCTGCCTCTCAAGGCAAGGTCCCGAGTTCAATCCCCAGTACAAAAAAAAAAGACAATAAGAATATAAGAACATTAAGAAGTCATTGATGCTTAAGCTTCATTTTATAACCATGTTAAATAAGCAAGAGCTAGATATTAAATTTCTTCAATGGTAGATACTGACTCCTTCAATGGTAGAAGTCAGTAGCATTTGGCCTAAGCCTTTTATCCTTAATATTGACCTCTATTTTGAGGAGTTTACCCAAATATAACAGAAAGTTTGAGAGCATACAGATTTCTCCTTGTTTTGTTAATAGGAAATTTAATGTTCTCCTATTTTAATTGTAATGGTGGCAAATGAATACACATAGGATAGCTATGGTTTTATGACCCCTGGGACATTAAAAATTTCTTTTTACTATAGAGCTTAGAACTTGTATCTGGTCTCTACTTTGTAAACATGAAGATCTTTTATAATTACTGGCTCTAGATTATATAAACATACAAAGTCAGTTTATATCCCAGAGATAACAAAGATTAGTAACCTATTTGAGGAGATACATCTTTATCTGAGGGGTACTTTAAAGTGCAATAGAAGAACATAATGGGAATATATTAAGAGGCTGAAGGACACATTTTTAGAAGAGCTAATAGGGCTGTAAATCAAAACTTTTCATGATCATAAGTTACAAGTGCAGCTGGAGACTATCAGCAGGGACTAATGCAGTGTTTGGAGCTCCCTTTTTATATCTAGCTTGGCTTTTTGCTGAATATTTCTATTATTCTCTCTATATATCTATTCTTTTTGGCTATACTTTTCTGCTGGGTGTTTAAGACCAAGTCAGAGTTAGACATGTGATAAATGTTAAGTGAAATAAATCAGACACATATGCTTAAATATAGCATATTTTCTCTTACATGAGAAACCCAAAATATAAATAAAGAGCAAAATGACAGGTCAGGGATTTAGCTCAGTGGCACTGTGCCTGCCTGGCAAGAGCAAGGTCCTGAGTTTGATCCCTGGTTCCACAAAAAACAAACAAACAAACAAAAACTGAAATGAGTTATATACTGAAAACCTGTACTAATAAAAAATAAAAACTGAAAGAAAATTAATCTGTCTATATATTTGTCAAGGTCAGTTAAGGCTCCTCAGGAGTTACTCTTGGGATTGTGTGCAGAGCCTCTTAGCTCTTCCAGTTTTTTCCTCTCCCAGTTGTGTCATCTGCCAGGATGGATCATGGTCTTTGCTTGATCACATGGTGTCCCTTGGAAGCATGGGGACATTCTCCTCTTTTGTGACCCTCCTTTTATTTTTTTTATATTTAAAATTAAAATTTTTTTGCTTTGTTTTTTGAGACAGGGTCTTGCTATGGAGTTCAAGCTAGTCTTGAACTTACTGTGTAGCCTAGGATGGCCTCAAACTCCTGGTGATCCTCCTGTCTCAGCCTCCCAAGTGCTGGGATTACAGGAATGCGCCATCATGCCTGGCTGTGACCTTCCATTTAGCACAATGTACACTGGTTGACTCCTGCTTTCTAGGGTCCAACAGTGTCCTTGCTTGAGAGGTTGGGTGACTCGCCAGAGTTGTAGGAACCTTTTAAAGAAGTCCCATCATGCCCTGGGTCATGGCTGACCTTGGAGGGCAAGGGCCAAAATATTGGCTGTTCTTTTAGTTCAACTATCTTCCTTAGCTTTGGCATTTTGCATTTATGCATGGGACCCATGTGGAGTTAATTTTTTAAAGGGTGTGAGGTCTGTATGTAGATTTTATATCTGAATGTCCAATAATTATAGCAACATTTGTTGAAATAATCATTTTTCTCTATTGTATTGCCTTGGTCTTTTGACAAAGGTCAATCATATGAGTCTATTTCTGTACTCTGTTCAGTTCCATTGATACATCAGTATACTTTGGTGAATATCATACTGTTTTTTGTTGGGTTTTTTTGGTACCGGGGATTGAACTCAGGTCTTTGTGCTTGCGTAGCAGGCGGCGAAACCACTGAGCTAAATCGCCGGCCCTTATACTGTTTTGATTATTGTGACCTTTTAGTGAGTCTTAAAGTTGGGTAGTATCAGTCCTCCAGTTTTGTAATTTTCCATCAGTATTGTGTTGGCTATTCTGGGTCTTTTAAAATATTCTGGGTCCAGAGGTGGACACGTGGTTATGAACTGTGAAAAGTTTGGGGGGTTCTAGAGCCCAAAAGACTTGTGGAGTTTGCAGGACCTAGAGGAATCCCTAAGGATGAAGCTGAATCTTACCAAGGTAGTTAATGGTTGTCATCTAGAAAAAATACAAAACCTGGGCAAAACAGGAGACCATACCATGGACATTCCAGGCTGCCTTCTGTACACCAAGTCAGGCTCTTTCCCACACCTGACCCAGCATACTCTGCATAATATCCATGGGGTTCCTGCCATGGCTCAGCTTAAGCTCTCATCCCTAGCAGAACATCATGAAGGCTTGACAGAATATAAGAAAGGAGTCAGAATCTTTATAGCCATGCCAGAATCACTCTTGTATCGCTCCCTGCATGATCCATTCAGCCCCTGCCCAGCTGGTTATGTAACAAATAAGTCTGTGTCTGTGTGGGGTGGTGGAGAAAGAGTAGAAATGACCGTTTCCAAGTTCATGGCAATTCAGCAGGCCCTTCAGACTGGTTCCAGTCCCCCTCAGATGGAGAGGCATCTTGTGAGGAAGCAACTTCCATAAAAAGAGCCAGAAAGTCCGTGGACCTATCACTTCTGTTTCTGGATAACTGTCTTTGACTACAAGAAGAATCAGAGGTCCTTCAGAAGAGTGCGATCATTGGAGTGATTGAAGATAGAGATGTGCTGGAGGAGTGGCTCAGGTCGGCACAGGAGACAGCCAAGTGGCCTGTCAGCGGCTTCCTACTGGACGGCTTTCAGGGGAATCCAACAACCCTGGAGACCAGACTGCAGTTGTTATTAGTCGCTGCGGAGCTGCCTGAGGACAAACCAAGGCTCATTTGTGGTATTAGCCGGCCAGATAAGGTGCCTGAGTGTATTGAAAGAGGAGTGGACCTATTTGAGAGTTTTTTTCCTTATCTAGTGAAAGAGCGGGGATGTGCCCTGACATTCAACTTTGATTATCAGCCAAATCCTGAAGAGACATCATTACAAAAAAATGGGATACAAGAAGAAATAAAATATGAGGATCAAATAAAGAAAATTAAAACAACTGGTTGCAACCAAAAAATGACATCATTTGAAATTAATCTGAAGGAAAAAAAGTACCAGGAGGACTTTAGCCCCCTGGTGAGAGAGTGTTCCTGTTACTGCTATAAGAATCACACTCATGCATATATCCACCATCTGCTGGTGACCAATGAGCTGCTGGCTGGGGCCCTGCTTATGATGCACAACTTTGAACACTACTTTGGATTTTTACACTCCATCTGGGAAGCACTAAAAAGCGACAGACTGGCACAATTGAAAGCTCATTTGTAGGAAAGCATCTGGAGAACTGGCAAATACAAATCTGACTCTGCATTGAGCTTGTACCATGCTTATAACATCAGAAGAAGTGAAGAAGAAATGATCTTAGCTTTATTTTTTTGTTGCTGTTTTATTTTATTTTATTTTATTTTATTTTATTTTTTTGAGACAGGGTCTCACTGTGTAGTTCAGGATGGTCTTGGACTCACTATGTAGCCCAGGCTGGCTTTGAACTCACAGTAATCCTCCTGCCTCAGCCTCCTGAGTGCTGGGATTACAGGCATGTGTCACAATGCCTGGAATGATTGTAGCTTTAAGCATTTATATTTAAGGATAAAAATCTGCTAAATTAAAGAATATCTGAAAAATATGAGTAAAATAAAGAATGGCTCTTTCAAACTGCCCACATGATAGTGAAGAGATGTCTTCTAAAGACTTAAATGGCCTAGCCAAGTTTGGTGACTTATATGCCTGTAATTCCAGTATTTAGGAGCCAGAGACAGGATTGAAAGTTGAAGGTCTGCCTAGGCACTTTAGTGAGAGTCTGTCCCAAAGTAAAAAGTGAAAAGGAAGGCTGGGAATTTAGCCCAGTGGCCCCACACCTGCCTGACAAGTACAAGGTCCTGTGTTCAATTTCTGGTAACCCCCCCTACCCCCCAAAAAGTAAAAAGGGCTGGTGATGTAGCTCAGTGGTAGAGTCCTTGCCTAGAATGTACAAGGCTCTGGGTTCAATCTTTAGTACCACACAGAAAATAAAAGGAAGAAGAAAAGACTGAAGTGGCATACACTGATAAGAAAGGGTTGAACCATGATCTTTAAAATGTCTAGGCTAATTCTTATTACACTAGACCCTTGACTTATAAACTCAGTTCATTCGAGAGGGCTAGCTGTAACTCACGTTGGTCAATTGAAGGCTCAGGCTCCTCTGCACAGCCTTCAAAGTCTGTCTCCTGTATACAGGCAGATCTCAGTGTTCTGAGAGACATTGGCCTGGGATTTCTCAATTAACCCCACACAGGAAAGGATGTTGTAATGTTCCTTTCAGAAATCTTTAAGGGTTAAATCTATATCTGAGACCATCTGGAAGCACAAGTGGCTGGCATTTGGATTGTAAATCAGGACTTTGTAAGTTAAAACTAAAATTCTCATCATAACCCAAGTTGTTCACGTGTCAGGCTGTCTGTAACTCAAGGGTCCACTATAGTTGATAGAAATTCACCTGAAGGGGGCCGGGGATTTAGCTCAGTGGTTTCGCTGCCTGTTGTGCAAGCGGAATGACCCGAGTTCAATCCCTGGTACCAATTAAAAAAATTAAAAATTTTTTTTTAAAAACCCAAAAACTGAAATTCACCTGAAGACTTTAGATGGGAGGAGACCCTCTTAAAAGGGGAGATGAGATTGTAGGAACCACTGAAAGATGAATTGGGACCTGTGGGGCGATGACTTCATAAGTAGTGTAACCTCTGTGGACACACAACCTGTTGACTAGAGAAGGAATCTGGCGGATTTGATGGTTTTCTTTATTTTGACCGTCATTCTCTCAGGGGCCTCTCTTGGGTACTTTTGTCTTCCAAGTGCCCTGGTAATAACAGTCACTCAGAAAGGGCTCATGTGACTTCGCCACACTCTTGTCTTCCTCTGTGGGCCTCACACAACACTCCTGTGATCACGTGGCTCAGGTCACACCTTCATTTGGCCACTTGGTCTATTTGTGACTTGTCTTCCTAGGGCCAGTGTACTTACCAGTTAGCCTAGTGGCACAGTTGCACAGCTACTTTTATCTAGTTGCACAAATCCACTGTGGTCTGCCCTTCAGGGTCATAAATAATCTAAGCTCATAATAACTGTAGCCCTATCTCTTGTGGAGATTCATTCTCATGTATTCACTTGGATGAGCCCCCAAGCTGGGCAATTAAATGATCATTTTCAGTTGCTCAGTTGTGACACGTGGATGAATAAGTTGGAGTGGGTAGAGTGATAGGACTAAATAAACTTCTAAGATTCTGCTGGCTTTAAAATTTGATGAGAAACAAAAAAGCTTTAGATTAGAGTCTGTGTTCATATTCTTGTTCAATGCCAAAACCCATTGTTGAAGAAGTATCAGTATACTAGAATCCATAAAAAATTTATGAGTTTTATCTATGTCCAAAACATTGAAAATTCTGTTCAATATTGTTCACTTCCTGGTTCTTTTTCTTATTAGCACATTTGAAAGATTTCTTTAATGCAATAAATCTATTAAAGGTAATAGCCATTAAACAGTTTTGATTTAAAAAAATATTCTGGGTCTTTTAACGTATTTTAAACTTTAAAATATGTTTGTTGATATTCTTAAATTTCTTGAATTTTGATTGGAACAAATAATTCCTTTAAATCAGTTACTCTGTTTATTATATCGAGGGTGTGCTGTACATATGATATAATACATACATAGAAACTGGGCCGTTGCCTATTCAGATGAAACCTCCTTAGCAGCTTGATTTGGAGCTTAGAATACTTTAATAATAATTAAACTCTTTGCTGGGCATGGTGGCTCCTGCATATAATCCCAGCATGCCAGAGGCTGAGGCAGGAAGGTCACTGTAAGTTGGAGGCCAGCCTGTGCTACATAATGAGTTCAAGGCCAGTCTGAGCTACATAGTGAGACTCTCTCAAAATAAGGATAAGCTAAGAATGTCTCACGTAGCACATATATAAGGACATAAATAATAATTTAGCTATGGGTTAATAAATTGCTTGCCTTTCTATCTACATTCATAATTTAACATTTGTATTCATATAAACCCATTGCCATTTCTCTATTTTTAGGCTCTTATAATCAATGGAGCAAATCTGGCAACTCAAGATGATCGTGGATGTACTCCTGTACACCTTGCAGCAACTCATGGTCATTCTTTCACTTTACAAGTAATGCTTCGAAGTGGAGTGGTGAGGGATACTTGTTAATATGTGATAATGTGTAATTATGTAGATGTGGACAGTATGTAATTGTGTGGTTGGTAGTCTGATGATCTATCCTTGACTTTTTAAATCTCTTATGTGACTTTGGGAAAGCAATTTAATTGTTCCATTTGGCTTATAAACATGGGAGAAGTTATTCAGATAAATCTCACCCCCTCATGTGGTTTAGTAGTACAAAGTATTTCAGGCTTGGGTGTGTGTATGTGTGTGTGTGCTCATGCGCACCAGCTCATAGTTTAACTGGGAAGATTACCAATCTTTTAAACACTTTTAACACTTTCTTTTTTTTTTTTTATTTGAGGTACCGGGGATCAAACTCAGGACCTTGCACTCGTGAGGCAGGCGCTGTGCCACTGAGCTAAATCCCCGGCCCCAACTTTTAACACTTTTAATCTTTTAATCAGGTAATTGTAAATCTTTATAAAATTGTTTGTCTACATATGTGTTTCTTTTGAAACTTTTTTTTTAATAGTTGTTTTTTTTTGGTAAGGAGATTGAACTCAGGACCTCGTGCTTGCGAGGCAGGTGGCAGCACCACTGAGCTAAATCCCTGGAGCTTTTGAAACTTATTTCATACCCTTTATGAAGTTATTTCTACAGAAATTTATTGAAATTTATTTTTAATATTACTCCATAGTTGTAAAAAAAATAACTTCTTATAACAATACATTTTGATTAGAGTTGGTGTTTCTTTTTTTTTCTTTTTTCTTTTTTTTTTTTTTTTTTTTTTGGTACTGGGGATTGAACTTGAGACCTTGCACTTGCAAGACAGGCAACAGAACCACTGAACTAAATCCCCAGCCCCTAGAGTTGGTGTTTCTATAGTTAGACAAAAACTGAAAAGCATGTTAAATATTTTGTCATTCTTTATGTTTCAATGATATGATTTGATCATTTAAATCTATCTTTGTCATTTTATTGGTCAGGATTTTTTTCTTTTTGAGACAGGATCTCGCTATATAGCTCAGGCTGGCCTTGAACTCACTGCTATTTAGCTCAGTCTAGTCTGGAACTTACAGTGATCCCCCTGCCTCAGCTTCCTGAGTGCTGAGATTACAGACATGCACCACCACACCATGCCTAGCAGGAAGTTGTGACTTGTAAAATGACTAAATTTCTTTTTTGTCACTGGGTGTGGTGGCACACATATATAATCCTAGCACTCAGGAGGCTGAGGCAGGAGGATTCCTGGGAGTTTCAGGCCAGCCTGAACTACATACTAAGTTCAGGGCCAACCTGAACTACTTGGTGAGACCCTGTCTCAAAAAAAATAAAGTTTCTTTTTAAAAACTATTTTATATGACTATGACTAATTATGTTCTTTTTGAAAAGAATATTTTAGCTCAGTGTGGTGGCACATGCCAGTATTCCTAGCACTCAGGCTGAGGCAGGAGGATTGCCATGAGTTTGAGGCCAGCCTGGACTACCTAATGAATTCAAGGCCAGTTTGAACTGCATAGCAAGACCTTGTCTCAAAATAAATAAATAAAAAGAATATTTTGTAAAATTTCACTAATATCTTACTATCTCATGTTCAAATCAGTGATTGAAGTGAATTTTCTATTATATTTAGTGTTTGCTGTATAATTTTGAAAATAGCCTCTAATTTTCATTTGTAACATTAAACTGCTAGACTTAGAGTTTTTCCTACAAAATTAGAGGAAACAATCCTTGTGACTGTTGCCTCTAGGATCCTAGTGTGACTGACAAGAGAGAATGGAAGTCTGTACATTATGCAGCTTTTCATGGGCGGCTTGGCTGCTTACAACTTCTCATCAAATGGGGATGTGGTATTGAAGATGTGGACTACAATGGAAATCTTCCAGGTATTCTACAGAAGCAAATATTTTATTTTTTTCTTAATATATTTTAACTGTTTGATCATATTTAATAAATCTAAATTGTCTTCATTCTAGTAGTTTCTTGCAAAACTAAAATAGTAAATATGTTTTTTTTAAATTTGATAATATTTTTTAAAAGAAAAACATTTACTGGTACATTGTAGGCATACATAATGATAACCCTCATAGGGAATTTGCACCTGTACACGATATATCCCGCCTCTCGGTTCCCATCCCTCCCCCCATCCCGTCCCTGTCCCCTCAAGCCCCCTCCCCTCCCTACGTACAAAAGCTTTGTTTCAATTTTTTCCTTCTATTTTCACTTTTTTTCTTGTCCCTTCCTTCCTTTCTCCCTCCCTCCTCCCTTGTTCCCCGTCCTATTTGAAACATTTTCTTCCCATTTCCCAATATCTATTATAAATTTTAGTTCTTATTTCCACTTTTGGTTTCTCACACCAGAGAAACAATGTGGTATTTAAACATGTAAAATAATAAATATATTTATGTGAACATTTTTGTCTTCTGTCATGCTGATGTTTTGTATCCTCATGACTGCATTTTTTTCCCCCAGAACTATATCAGCAAAGGAGAAAATGGGAAAATTAAACATACATTGGCTCTTCTCACCAAATTTTCTTTCATATGCTGTCTTGGGTTCTTATTTTTTAACTTTATACCCTTCTCCACAAATAAGTTTAAAATTTAAAAAAATAATATTAAAGAGGACATTAGTATATTTGAGTAATTTGCTACTGCAGTTATGCAACCTGCAGTTAGCCGACCACTTGAAACCTACACTCTGCATACTCAAGTGCTGTAGAAATTCAGAGAAGGATGGACCTGTGAGATGGCAGTGAAAATGATGTTTAAATGACTGTTTTTTGGAATGACTTCTTAAATCTGAAGAAGCACACACGTGAAGAATAATATGAATAGAACTAATCAAATCCCTTCACCCCTTAGGAAGCCCCTGCTGTCCCATACAGCCTTGTTTCCTCAGCTTGGCTTACGGGGCCTTTATAACTTGGCTCCTCCCTCCCTCCCTCCGTGGCCACATCTGTATCTTCAGACTGCCATCTGGGATGCTTGTGCTTCTTTCTGAAGTATATATTTTCGTGTTCCTTTAGTAAAGAACATGGTGTGGGCCAGGGATTTAGCTCAGTGGTGCTGACACCCGCCTCACAAGTGCAAGGTCCGGAGTTCGAGTCCCGGTACCAAAAAAAAGATTTGTTAGTATGAACTCTCATTTTTTTGTGTGTATCTGGAAGTGATTTTATTTTGCTCCCACCTTTTACTTTTTTACTTTTTTTTTGGTACTGGGGATCGAACTCCGGTCCTTGTGCATGCGAGGCAGGCGGCAGAACCACTGAGCTAAATCCCTGGCCCCTCTCTTTTTTACTTTTTACTTTGTTCATTTTATAAAAACAAAATTTTAAATTGAAGTATAACTTGCATATAGAAAAGTGTCCAACTCAAATGCAAAGCTCAATGGATTTTCATAAATGAACACTTTTCTGTAGTCATCATTCCAATTAAGAATAGAATATCACTAGCACCCAGAAGTCTCTCTCATATCCTCTTAGAGTTACTTATACCCTCTAAGGTTAATCACTAACATCCAATAGAAAAATTATTTTCTTTTCACTTTTGAACTTTATAAAATAATACACAGGGGCCAGGGATTTAGCTCAGTGGGAGTGCCACCTACCTCACAAGCACAAGGTCCCAAGTTCGATCCCCGGTACCCAACCCAAAAAATAAGTAAAATAAAATGATACACAAGTATTCTTTTGTATCTGCCTTATTTTGCTTTTCCAAACTGGTTTTACCAGTATACACACCCAGTGTGTTTAAGAGTTTCACTTGCTCCCCTTTCTCATTTATTATTATAATTTTTTTTTTGTTTTAGTCATTGTGATGACTGTAGGATGATATCTCATTGTACTTTGTATTTATCTTGACTAAAGATACTGAACATCATTTCATATGTTTTATGACCATTTGGTTATTTTCCTTTGGGTTTTCTGTCTTTTTCGTATTGAATTGTAGGAATCTTTCATATATTCTAGTTATAAGCCCTTTTTGTCAGCTATATGTGTTGCAGATAACTTTTTTGTGCAAATATTTTTCCATTCCCTGGCTTGCCTTTTTTTTTTTTTTTTTTTTCCTTTTGAGACAGGGTCTTACTATGTAGTTCAGGCTGGCCTTGAACTCATGGCAATTCTCCTGCCTCAGCTTCCTCAGTGCTGGGATTACAAGTGTGTTGTGCCACTGTGCCTGGCTCAACCTTATATTCTTTTAAGATGCCTTTTGAGAGCTGAATGTGTTGGTGGACTCCTGTAGTAGCTGTATTCTGAGAGACCAAAGCAAGAGGATGAAAAGTTCACACCTGTCCTAGGTAATTTAGTGACTTAGTGAGATCCTGTCCCAAAATAAAAAAGAAAAATAGGGGCTGGGGATATAGCCCAGTATGAAGGCCCTGGGTTCAATCCCCAGTACCATAGTTAATCAGTCAATCAACCAATACCTTTTGATAAATAGAAGTTTTAATTTTATGTAGTTCATTTTAATAATGTTTTCCTCTTGTAGCTAGTGCTATCTGTATCTTGTTCCAAAAAACTTGGGCCGGGGATTTAGCTCAGTGGTTCCGCCGCCTGCTTCGCAAGCGCAAGGTCCTAAGTTCGATCCCTGGTACCAAAAAAAAAAAAAAAACAAGAAAACTTACCCTATTCTATGATTGTGAAGACATTCCTTGACTTATCTTCTAGGCATTTTATTATTTAATTTCACATTTAGATCTGCGACCCACCTGGAAAAAGCTGTTACACACCTTTTCTGTGTGTATCACATGATAGGAGTCAGTTTCATTCACACACCTGATCATTTTTGTCTTTTATTGTCTGCTCAAAAAAATCTTTTTGTTTCTTTAAATATATTTAATTATCATACAACCATATAGAGTATATTTTATAATAGTACAATGTATAGGTTAAGAATGTGACCTCACACCGGGCGTGGTGGCTCACATCTGTAATCCCAGCACTTGGGAGCCTGAGGCAGGAGTATCACTGCAAGTTTGAGGCCAGCCTGGGCAACATAGTGAGTTCACAGTGAGACTCTGTCTCAAGAAACCACACACACACAAAAGACTGTGGCCTCAGGACTAGACTACTTGTAGTCAAACCTCTCTCAAAAACATATTTATCCACTTAGAAGTGCTGGGGGTATCATGAAAAGTAACACAAAGTTCTCGTTTTCATGTGGTGGTGAGGGGAGAGAGATAATCATCGAAATGAATGAGCCAAATATGTGCATGTAATATTAAATGGGTAAATATAATGTAGCAGAAAGCAGTAGCAAATATTGGAGGGGTAGAAATTTCACATGGTGAGGTGAGGAAAGCCTTCACTGAGGAAATAAGAGTTGGGTAAAGAACTGAAGGAGTGGAGGAAGCAAGCCTGTGGATATCCTGGGTGAAGAATATTTCAGGAAGAGGTAACAGCAAGTATGAAGCTTCTGAGGCAAGGATGTGCATGCTGTGTTTGAACAGCAGCAAGTCAGTGTGGTTGGGAGGGAAGTGCAGTGAGGTTGTGAAGGTGGCAAAGCAAGAAATAGGGAGAGCAGGTAGCAGCCTAATATAATAATTTAGGCTGATATTTGGGTTGGATTAGTGTAGCATATTGTAAGAGGCAGCAAATAGTAAGAACTAATTGAATTCAACCTGTATCTTTTTTTTTTTTTTTTTTTTTTCTTGGTACCGGGGATCAAATTTGGGGCCGTGTGCTTGCAAGGCAGGCTGCAGAACCACTGAGATAAATCCCGGCCCTCTACCTGTATCTTTTAAGGAGCCAGTGGAATTTGCTGTTAGTGGCAGCGGGGAGTGATAGAAAGGGGAATTAAGGATGCCTCTAAGGTTTTGGATTGAAAAACATAGAAAAGATTTTCCATTGACTAAGATGCCAAAGATTACGTAAGGAAAATATATGCAAGGAAGATGAGCTCTTTAGTTTTCAACATGTTAAGGTAGAAATGTCTGTAAGGCATGCAAGCATGTATGATGAATTAGCCGTCAGAGAAGCCTAAGTTTTCATGGAGAGATGTATTGTGGGAGGACAACTGACCTAGGACAGCATGGTGTGAGCCAGCAGTTCAACTCCCGGACTGTGCCAGCTAATCATTTTTTTTTTTTTTACCAGGAATTGAATTTAGGACCTTGTGCTTGCCAGGCAGGCACAGTGCCACTGAGCTAAATCCCCGGCCCCAGCTAATTTTACTTTTGAGCTTGACTGGATTGAGAGATTCCTGGGTGCTGATTTAATACTGGGGGCGATATTCTCATTAGTGATTGTTTACTCCACTGATGTTCCTAGCTCAGTGTTGTCCGGAAGCAGGGCCCACTTGGGGGTGGTCCCTTGTGGTGTGCCTGTGAAGAGTGCATCTCCGCTGGTGCTCTTCCCCTGGGCTGTGCTTCCTGGCTGCCATGAGCTGAGCAGCTTGGTCCTATCATGCCCACCCACCATGATGTTCCTCCGTTGGAACCAGCTGACCATCGATTCGGTCATTTCCACCTTTAAGTTGTGTCTGTCAGGTATTTGGTCTCAGCAACAGAAACACTGACCACTGAATTTTGGGACCTCTTTCTCCCGAGTTGCATGGCTACTTGAGAAACGTCTTGCTTCTCTACAGTCAAAGTTTGTGTAGTATATGAACTGAGCTTCCCAAAATAATAAGAGGTATAAAGACTTTCTTGGGCTTTGGAATCACTGCCTCACAACCATTCCTTCTTGTTTTATATTTTTGAGATAGTGTCTTTCCTTGTAGGTCAGGCTGGGCTTGTACTCACTAAGTAGCCAAGGGTGGCCTTGAACTCAGCAGTAATCCTCCTGCCTCAGTCTTTCCAATGCTTGGATTACCTGTATGCACCACTACATGAGCAATTTTTTTTAGAAGGGTTTTGGTTGTAGTTATCCCTCAGTCTGATCCAGTATATTTTCAGGGATTCTTTAAAATTTCTTGTCTCAGAAAAAATTTCTTGATGTTCACGTTAAACTTTAGTTGTTCATGGTTTTGAAAATATCTTTTGGATATTTTTAAGAATTTAGGGTAGAAATGATGTATTTAGTGGGTATGCTTAGCCTGCAGTTTTGATGTAGTCTTTGTGTTTATAATAAAAAATAACTAGTATAGAGAAGTGACAATGTACTGTATAGTGATAAAAATAATACTCATATTTACATAGTGACTTTTTGGTTTATTCCACTTTTTCTCAAATATTAAATTTTTATTTATTTACATAAAAACCATTTTTCTCTGTAATTTTAAGCTGCATAACTGGGATTTAACTTTGTAAGATAACTTTCTGGGTCCTCCTTTTAGGTGGCTGTCATCTGGTCTCTCTATAAAGTGGTAGGAAGTGTAGTCATTCAAGAAGTAGGCTCCTGGGCCAGGGATTTACTCAGTGGCACTGCGCCTACCTCCCATGCACAAGGTACTGAGTTCAATCCCTGGTACCAAAAAAAAAAAAAGAAGAAATAGGCTCCTGCTTTGGTGTGACAGAAGGCTGTCAGTGCAAGGAGATGCAAGCTGGGAACATGGTCCATTCTCCTTGCTCAGGGCAAGTCTGTCATATGGGGCAGGATGGGCATCTTCCTGTGAGGAATAGAACTAATGTGTTCCTTTTTCAAGTTATTTTACTTTCAATTTTAACATTGAATTCTTTTTTTTTTTTTCCCTCTTACCAATAGTTCACTTAGCAGCCATGGAAGGCCACCTTCACTGTTTTAAATTCCTACTCAGTAGAATGAGCAATGGCATACAAGCTTTAAAAGCCTTTAATGACAATGGAGAAAATGTTTTGGACCTGGCCCAGAGGTTCTTTAAGCAAAATATTTTACAGTTTATCCAAGGGGCTGCATGGGAAGGAAATAACCCAGAAGATCAGGAAAGTAAGTCACTAAGCTGAAATGAAACTAAGTATATAATGTGATGATGATGATGATGATAGTAATAATAATATAATAAGTAGAAGCAATGGGGTAGGAAAACAGAACTTTTAAGGCAAATGTCATATTAAAATTTATTATATATTATTGTCCGTGTATTCATCTAGATTCTGTATTATGAAATATTTTAGACAAAAGTGTGTATATATTAACACATAGAGGATTGTTTATATTACAAATTTAAGAATAAACTATTAGAATTGAAGTCTCCTGGATCTCTGTCCCTAATACCATTACCTTTATTTTTCTTCTCACAAGTAGAATATTGTTTTGGATTTATCATTCCATTATATGTAAAAGAACATATGGTATTAAAGTTGTCTAGTTATCTACCTATATTTTTTTGCCTTTTAGAAAATTGCATTCTTTTAAAAAATAACAGATAAAAATAAGAATAAAACGCAAAAAACAAAAAAGAAAAAAGAAAAATGGACTCTGTAATTTTTCTAAATAATTTAAATTTCTATAAGTTTTTTTGTTTTGCTTTGTTTTTTTTGAGACAGGGTCTCACTATGTAGTTCAGGCTGTCCTTGAACTCACTCTATAGCCCAGGCTGGCCTGTAACTGAGCAGCTGTTCTGCTGTTTCAGCCTCCCTAGTGCTGGGATTACAGGTGTGCACCATCACGCCTGACTTGAATTTCTATAAATTCCTGATTCTAGTAATTTAATTATTTTTATCTGATACAGATGTTTTCTCTTTTTACTTTGATTATGATATCTTTTAAAAGAACAACTTTATAAGAATATAACTTATTAAAATGTAAAATTATGAAAGCTTAAGTAAGACTCATGTATTTACTGAAATGCTGAATTTTCTTATTCATAGTTTTAGCATTTCCAGGTCATGTGGCTGCCTTTAAGGGTGATTTGGAAATGCTTAAGAAATTATTAGAAGAGGGCATAATCAGTTTTAACGAGCGTGACGATAATGGATCAACTCCAATGCATAAAGGTGAGCTATTATATTTCTGCTTCATTTTCAGTTTTATGTATGTATGAATATATGTTTTTTGAGATAAGGTCTCACTGTGTAGTTCAGGCTGGCCTTGAACTCACAGAGATCCTCCTGCCTTGGCCTCCTGAGTGCTGAGCTAACAGGTGTGTGCCAAATGCATTTTCAGTTCTGATAAAATTGCTGCTGAGTTATTCACTTTTTTTTTTTTTTGGTACCTGGGATTGAACTCGGGACCTTGTGCTTGTGCAGCAGGCGGCGAATCCACTGAGCTAAATCACCAGCCCGAGTTATTCACTTTTAAAAGTGCAAACACATGAAACACATGAGAACATGAAACTTTTTTTCTGAAGCCCTAATGTATATCAGTCTATAGCACATGGTATACAGAATGCCTTATTTTCAATTCAAGTATCATGCTTTTTATGATGCCAGACATTTATACATTGTTGCATTTGTGAGTAATCCAACAGAATTTATGTTAATGAAGACGCTGAAATACACTGCTAGGAAGTTTCTTAGAATAACATTTAAAAGAATGACTTATTCATGTTAACATGAAAATCATCTCTTCAAAAATTTATAGCAGAATTTTCTTCTTTAGACTAAGAAAATGTTTTTAATTTCACAAAAATGATCAATGAATATTATTAGATTTAAACATGTTTTTAAGATGTTTCTTTTTCTCCTTTTCATATAGAATTCTATAATATTTGTCAGATTTTCCTTGGTTTTTTTGTTTGTTTTGTTTCACTAGTACCAGGGACTGAGCTCAGGACCTTGTACCTGTGAGGCAGCCGTGGTGCCACTGAGCTAAATCCCCAGCCCTTTCCTTGTTTTTAAATCAGACTTTGTCAAATTGTTAACTCAGTGTTGAGATTCTAGGAATTATGGTTTTCAGTCTTCCTTTAAAAAACAAAAAAAGCCTCAAAATCAAATATTTAACCCTTGTGGCTAAAATTTCCATTCTGATTCATTTGTGATAATGTTGAATTTCTTCATGATCTGATGACATGTGATTCTCATAAAACTCTTAGAGAGAAAAAGATTATAGACTTTTTAATGTAGTCATGTGTTTGAATTGGACTTTATTTCATAAATAACTTGACAGTCTCCAAATCACATATTGTTTTCTCACTGATTGTTTTTATCTTAATTGGTAAACTTTGTTTAATCCCTAGTATACATCAAGCATAAAATCTAAGCACCATGTGTGCTAATAATTTTATAATGGGAGCATTGATTCAGAAGAGGAAGTGTGAAGGTATTCTCATACAAATAGAGGTCCCCACCTTAGTAACCTCTGCTGTAGGGCTGGAGGATCGCACTCCATGCATCCCTGCTTGCTGTCTAGGGGCTCTCCCCTGTGGGATCAGTGGGTGGGGAGCAGACTTAATATGTACGTTTAAAAAAAATGTGGTCGGGCCGGGGATTTAGCTCAGTGGTTTTGCTGCCTGCTGTATAAGCACAAGGACCTGAGTTTGATCCCCGGTACCAAAAAAAGAAAAAGAAAAAGAAAAAACTTGTGGTCTTTTCTTTTTAACATGGCTGCCTAAACCAAAGCCATGTATTAGTTTATTAGGGCTGACACAAAAGAATGCTACATACTGGGTGGCTTAAAGATAGAAATTTTAGTTCCTCATAGTTACAGAGGCTGAGTCAAGGAATCAGCATGGTTGCTTTCTACCAAGGCTTCTTGCCTTGGTATTCAGATGGCTGCCCTCTCGCTGTGACTTCACGTAAGGTGTCCTCTGTGCATGAGCATGTGTCTTGGCCCTTCTTATAAGGACACTGCTTGGATTTGATTATTGCCATCTCTAGGACTACCTTAATTCCCTCTTTTTTTAAAGCCCTGTCTATTTTCAATCACATTTGGAGGTACCGGGGTTGATTAGCACTTCAGAATGTGAATGGGGGAAGCACAACTCAGCCCACAACAAATCCATTACAGCTTCCATTCCATATTCTAAATATGTTTATAATTGTCAATGTATGTGTGGGATATAATTTAGACAGAGTAGCAAAAGATAGGCTTACTGAGTGTGCACATAGTGCATCTTTAGGGAAAAAATAAAGTCAGTTTCGCTAATAGCTAGTTTTCAGAATATCCCATTTAGTTCTTTACTGCTTGAGTTAGAAGTGAGGGATCTGGAAGAAGGAATGTAGCCATTGTTAGATGGTGGAAGGTGAATAAGAGAAGAAGCCAAGAGTTTCCCTTCACTCAGTCTCTTATGAGTCTTTCTATCAAGGGCTCCTAGGCCCAGGGGTGGACCCTGTGGTATGGTGGAGGTGTGGTAAGTGGCAGCAGCTGGGAAACTGGTACTCTTGTGATCCTTAGCCTTTTCTTGTTTAGATTGTACCCAAAAATGGGCATGTAAAAATTGATACCTCCTATAGTTCAGTTCATGTTACCCACATTTTGTCAATCTATCTGCTTTTTTTCCTTTTGTTTTAATTTGATTCAGCAAACTATAGTATCTGTTACTCATTGGGAGCTTCTTCTTAATCATTTAATAATTTAAATCCACTAACTTCCCCTTTCTTTTACTTGCTCTTAAACCATAATTATTTCAAGTCATTTCTTACAAATTTCAAATCACTGCATAATCTTATCTTATTCTCTAATAAAATATTGATTGAATTAATATACCCTCATTGATATAAGAATCTTTGATTAAATCTTTGTTGTATTTTATTGTAGATAAATTATTTTCCCTCCTCCTTTTTAGAAAACATTACCCTGTGTGTTAAAATGGAAATGTTTAGCTAAACTCATCCTATCTTATAAAGCACAATATTATCCATGATCATAAAGATAACTTTGATCATATTTGAGGACAAAAAAGCCAATATGCTTATGTTGCTGCTTTTGTATGAAGTGGGGTTATTTATAGAGGCCTGAGAGATCCTGTAGTAGTCTTTGTTAGCTAGTTCTAGAAAGGAGTGAGAGAAGGGGGGGGATAGGAAGGGGAAGGGAGGAGGGGAGAGGAATTAGAAGTGAGAGACAGGTTGACAGTCCCTCAATTTAGAATTTGCTGATGGTTCTGAGTTAAGCAGAGAAAGAAAGACTAGCAAGAGTTCTCAGAGACCTTTGGGTTGTAGTGAGAGTTGCTTGTCATTGAATATGGCTTTATGACTTTGTTGCCAGTATTGGATAGGGGTTCACTTTTAAGCCACATGTATAACAAAAGTTCCTATTCTTTGATGGACTGTAGAGACAGAATGAGATCCAGGCCTTACTGTCAAGGAGCTACATATTTATACTATGAAACAACTAGCGTTTTGGGGTTTTTTTGGTACTGGAGATCGAACTCGGGACCTTGTGCTTATGAGGCAGGCACCGGAACCACTGAGCTAAATCCCTGGCCCTAACTAGGGGTTTTTATATGACAATTAACAGCAAAAATTTGATTATTAAAATACACATGATAGGAATTTGGGAACGAGTATTGAGGGACAGAGTTGCTAAGGTTCAAATTATTTTGGAAGTGTTCATGGGGGTTTTTGTAGTAGTACTTTATATGACATTTAACACAGTACAAAGCTCTTGTCACATTTATTCATTATTGCAAATTTTTTTTTTCAAGATGGTCTTGCTTTATAGTACAGGCTGGCCTCCAACTCATGCCAATCCTTCTGCCTCAGCCTCCCAAGTGCTGAGATTACAGGTGTGCTCCACTATACCTGGCTTATTATTACAATTTTATGAAGCAGTAGTGTGTTCTCTTTGTAAATAAAACTCATCTCTGTTAAAGATGAGGAAACTGGCGTTCAGACAGGTCAGGTGTCTTGAGTGAGGTTACATACCTGTTAAGAGCAGAGCTGAGATTACATTTACTTTTTTTCATGCATCATTTACTTATTAACCCTGGAAACATTTATCAAGGGTCTGCATGTGCGAGCCACTTGCTAAGTTCTGGGGAACATGAAGATCACAGTCTGTTCTCAAGTCTTACTGTTTAGTAGACTCAAGTTCAAGTTTTTTCCAAAGCTTCGCTGAGTCTTGAGATGACCCAAGATCAGTGGAAGTTAAATGAGCACATAGAGGAATGATGGGCTTTAAGCAGAGTTGTGTAGGTAAAAATTAATATAGAGGATATGTGTGTTGAGTGCAAGATTTATACAGAAGTGTAGTTTATATCATTAAGTGTGGCTTAAGCCTATAAGTTTTGAGTTGTAAGTGTAACATCTGGGGAGGGTTGTATACCTCCCCACACTATGCCACACTTAATGCCCCAGCGTGGAAAGCAAGCCACTACTCTGCCGCATTGTGCCACTGCTGTGCTGGAATGTGCAGCTCCCACAATCCTAAACCCACCTTTGGTAAAGAACTAAAGAAGCAGTTTAAAATAAAAGAAGACAACTTATTTAGAGATGGGGAAGGAGGAAGAAAGAGATGACAGACCGCTGGGAGAGTTCGAAAGTGAACTGCTCCTGGATCTCCTGTCTGCAGCTCCTTTTTATTGAGATCCTTATGTCACATAGGCTCCTGGAATCTGATTGCTTCCTGGCTTGTCTTTCATCCTAAATTTGATTTCTCTGGGCTATGCAACCTTTCCCGGTCCTTTGGTGGAGAGTAGGATTATGGGTACAAGCCTTAAGAATGGGGAGTTTAGGTTTAAGGATTAAGCAAAGGGAAAGTTTGTGATTCTTATGTTAGTCGTGCTACTTGGGAACGATTTCCAGGTCTTGAGTTCTTCACCTTTGTCTTTCTAAGCCCTCGAGTCTAGCCGCCTTTGACTTTCCAATTGTTGGAGTCTTAGCTGCCTTTGCTTTTGCTTTTGGAATCTGGCTGCAGAGATCAAAGCTGCCTTTTAAATTGTAATAAAGCTCAGTGAAGCCTTTGACCTACCTCTGGGGCCCCCTGTCACTACATGAGTCAGAGTAATAAGAGCATGTATATACACGTATATTATATACAGTCATACGTACATAAACACACAATATATGCTAAAGCAAGATTTTTGATGTCTATGTGAGTCCCTGTAGTTGAGATATACTCACACTGTGGTGTGGCAGATTGGGTAGGAGCTATAGCAAGATAAAAGCACTTGGATAGAGATTAGAAAAAAACCTGAATTTTAGTTTCAAATCCATTATTTGCTTGCTGTGTGATATTAAATGTGTTTTGTATAAGAACAGTAGATATTTCATTAAATATTTGTCTGATGAATGAATAAATGAAATAAGAAAATAACATTTACCCAACCTACTTTTGTTAGTAGGAACAATAGTTAAGGAACAGTAGTTAAGAAGGTACTCTATAAAGTACTATCCAAAATTTTAAAGCTGGGCATGGTGGCGTACACCTGTTATCCCAGCACTTGGAAGGCCAAGGCAGGAGGAACCCTGTGACCTAAAGGCCAGCCTGGGCATGTTACATAGTGAGTCCAAGGCCAGCCTGAACTCCATAGTGAGAAAACCTGAAAAAAATAACCCCAAAATTTTAGAAAATAATTATTAATAGCAATTTTATTTTTGCATGTATTTCCTACCTCCTTTTCCCTCTTTTCTTAACAGCTGCGGAACAAGGCCACATAGAATGTTTGCAGTGGCTAATTAATATGGGAGCAGACAATAATATTACCAACAAAGCAGGAGAGAGACCCAGTGATGTAGCTAAGAGGTATAGATCCCTATCTGCTTTGTTCCTTTCTTTTGTTTTTAAAGTTTTGCATATATTATCTTGTACTCAGACATTTCCGAGAATTTAATGGAATTTCAGAGGACTCAATTAAAGCTAATGCAATCAATTTTTAAGCTGAACTGACATTTGACATTGTATCAGCTCTTCTCTCCAAAGGAGTGATTCTCAACTGGAAGGTAGAATTTGTCCCCTTTCCTTTGGGATAGGAGCACTTACAAATGAGACGGAAGAAGTGGCAATGACTAACATTAAAGGAAGTTGGGACTGGGGAATGCTGAAAGTTCTGTAGTCATCAGAATAGTGGTAAAAACTGGGCATGGTGTGGCACACTCCTGTATCCTCAGGACTTGGAGACTAAGGCAGGAGGATCGTGAGTTCAAGGCCAGCCTGGGCTATAAAATGAGACCCTGTCTCAAAAAAACCCAAAAACCAAAAAAACAAACCAGTGGTAAACAATGAATGTTGAGAAACACTGTGATAAAAAGGAATTATCAACATTGATAACAGAAAAAGAAATCAGAAGGGTTTTGAAATATGCATACTTTGGGATTTACATCTGAATTAAATGTAGCACTACCAACTCATTCAAGCCAGATCCTCAATATTTAATCCTATTTGCTCATTTGTTTGTCTTTTCATTCAACTTCCTATCTATCTGCCCCGGTCTAGGTACTATGGTTAGCATTCAGGTTAGCTCCTGCTATGGCGAGCTCATTGTCTTGTGGAGAAACAAATACATAAACAAAAGTTCTTGGTCATTATAATCACTGTATCCTATTACATAGTATGCATAAGGTACAGTAAGAATGGAGGATGAAAACATACCCAAGCCTTCCTATATGTAGACTGTGTGCAGGGAGAAGAGGGGGAAAGGTAGGGTAATAGTAACACAAATGATAGTAAAAGTTATTAAGGAAGCTGCAGAGGGACAGAATTTAGAAAGGGTTCAGGGAAGAAAAATATTTTTTGAAGTAATATTTATGCTGACACTTGAAGAAGGAACATTTAAAAGAACTCTTGTATGTTTTTGATTCAGACCTACTTGAATCTAAAGCATAAATATGGGTAACAGTGGCTCTTGAAGTTGGCCCTGATGGTTAGGCCCAGTCATTCCCTCAAATTGCAAAAGTTGAGCTCATGTGGTTCTCAAACTTTTTTTTTGTACTGGGGATCGAACTCAGGACCTTGTGCTTGTGAGGCAGATGGCACCACTGAGCTAAATCCCCAGTCCCTCACTATTTTATTTTTTAAAACAGCTTCATCTAAGCACAATTGAAATATAATAAAATGCACAGATTTGTATCATGCAAACTCTTAAGTTTTTATATGTAGAAACCTATGAAATCATTACTATAATGAAAGATAGTGAACATATTCATCATGTCTACAAGTCTTTATCTGCCACTTTATAATCTCTCTCCTTCCCCAGTATCCTTTCCCCAAGCAAATGCTGATCTGCTTTTTGTCTCCATAGATTAGTTTGCATTTTCTAGAATTTTATAAAACCAGAATCATACAGTATGTACCAGAATCATACGGTATGTATGAGTGTTGCTTAATGTGGTGATATGTTCTGAGACATGTTGGTAGGTGATTTCACTATAGTGCAACTATCATAGAATGTACTCATCCAAATATAGATGAATTAGCTTACCACACACTTAGGGTATATAGTTTAGCCTATTGCGGCTAGACTAGAAACTTGTACAGTGTGTTTAGTGTATTGAACAATGTGGAGTAAACTTACTGGACCATAGACTGAAAACTAAGTTGTCAGTTCCTTGGGTAAATACCAAGGAGTAAGCTTGCCGGGCCATATGCTTATTGTGTATTTTTGTAAAGAACTGTGAAGTTCTGCCTTCCACTGTGGCCATGCCAATTCACATTCCCATCAGCAATAGATGACAATTTCTGTTGTCATTCTCACCAGCATTTGGTATTGTTAGTTTTTTTGAATTTCATAATTTGAGTAGATATGTCATGGTACCTCAACATGGTTTTAATTTGCATTTTTCTAATGAAAACTGATTTTGAGAATCTTTTTTTAGAAATGCTTTGGGTTGAGGAAGGATGAAGGTTAAGGGAATAGTACTATAGTTAGATTTGGGTTGAGGAAGGATGAAGGTTAAAGGGAATAGTACTATGGGTAACTGGAACCCGAACTAACTCTGCCATTTAAATTGGGCTAACAAGGGCAGTAAATATAAAGAATCAAAGAAGGTGAGCCTAGGCTTTCTGTTCTATTGAGTAGCTCTGTTTGGGGGCACATCAAATGTTCTTTTTTCTTTTTCTTTTCTGGTACTAGGGATTGAACTCAGGACCTTGTGCTTGCCAGACAGGTGCGGCACCACTGAGCTACATCACCGGCCCTCCAAACGTACTTTTAATATTGGATCTCCTCTCCCAGTGGATTTTTTTTTCCAGTAAAAATGGAATCAGGTTTTAAAAGACTCCTGGTCTTTAGTGTCCAGGAACTGTTTAAGTTTCCCACATAGTTGAACATATGCCAAATTGTCCCTGACTGTCAGGTACAGATTTGCTTCTTGCCTGGTAGATGGGTTCATGGAAGAACATACAGAGTAGAATTGCCTAAGTGCAGACTGCAGGTTAAATTTGAAGGAGATTGTGGATGTCATTAACTTTTTTATTCTTTTCTACAGATTTGCCCATTTGGCAGCAGTAAAACTATTAGAAGGGGTGCAGAAATATGATATAGATGATGAAAATGAAATTGATGAAAATGATATGAAGTTTTTTGTAAGGCATGGTGTCGAGGGAAGCACTGATGCCAAGGAAGATTTATGTTTGAGTGAGTCGGATAAAACAGATGCCAGAAGTAAGTATGTTGCCTCTATTATCATTTATTCTTTCAGAAACACTACACATAATTTTTACCACAAACTTGGAAATTATTCTAAAGACAATTACTGCCTAAAAAGTGAACTAATCTGACAGTTTTGGGGAAGTAGACCTAATATAGATTTTTTCTCCTAGGGTTGTTGAACATATAAAGAAGTATAAAATATAGTCTCTATCCCTCAAGAGGGGGATGTTACAGAAAAGAAAAAATGTTTAAGCGGATCATAGAACACAGGGAAAAAGACAACTCAGAGATTTCCATGGTTCACTGGTAAATACTTTTTAGAGATAATGATGGCAGCAAATATATTTTGATGAATATGTGCTAGACACTGTCGTAGCTACTGGAGAAATGGTGAACAATAAAAAGAGACATTCTGGTGGTGGTGCTGGTCAGAGAGGAGAGTAATGAATAATTGATAAAAAATAGATGTATAAAGAAAAAGAAGTAAGGTGATACTGTAGATAGCTGTTAGGCCTCTCTGAGGAAGGTGACATTTGAGAAGACCTGAGTGATGAGGGTGAGCCATATGAAGTTCCTGGAAGAACATTCCAAGCAGAGGGAGCAGTATGTAAAGGCCATGAGTTGGACTGAGCATGATCAGAATGTCTGGGGAAAAAACACTAAGGAAGAGGTGATGGATACGGTTGGAGAGGTAAGCAAGGGCCCAGTAAGGACTTTAGATTTTACTTTATTTATTTATTTAGATTTTACTTTAAATAGAAAGCTTTTGTTAGTGTTTGAGTTGAGGAATGATGTGATTCGATTTGTGTTTAAATCACAAACTATATGGACAGAAAGGACTGGATGGTGGGGAAGGGCATAACATATTCAGGCAGGTTATCAATTAGGTGGAAAGAGAACATACTCATTTACTTGTCTAGGTGAAGTTTCTGATATAATTTAAATTTGCCCAAGGTACTAAATTAGAATTGAGTTATGAAAGTACATCTGGATAGGAAAGTACTTTTTAGATCTATGATTTACAGGTGTGTTCTCCATTGCTGTGGGTTATTTTTATGGTCCTTGGCAATGCAAAGTTTTACAGTTTTATAAAGTCCAGTTTATTTTTTATTTTATTGCTTAGATTTCTTGGAGATTCTTTGAGAATGCAGATCTAGAACTACAGAAAATGAGCTGATGATCTTGTAGGATTTGTATATTCTGAAATTATTTGAGAAGACAGCTGTAAAGAGATCACTGTCAGAAAACCAAGAAATTTCAAAAGGATATTGCAGAAGAGACCAACAACACACTAGCACTTCTTTCTATAGTGTGTGCCATACAAATGAGCTCTTAGTACCTTTTGTGTACTCTGAGGATCACTGATGCCCAGCTGGGGTGCTTGCTTGGTGAAGGGATAGTATATATCAAGTCATGTGCTATATTATCATCCCTATTAAATTTTATTGCAGGGAAAAAAAATCAAAGGAGTAGATGGTACCTTCTTGGGATCCTAGTCTTTTGCTGGAGCACCTACAAGGGACTGGTTGGAGTTCTTGTCATACTGAATATTTCTTGCAGTGAACTTTAGTTCAGGGCACTTTTTAGTGAATTAGGTTTAGGGCCATGGCATCACAGAGTCCTATAACTATTTGAGATGTGACTGCTTGCTCCAGATTGCTATCTGTTATGGTTTGGGTCTATATGTCCCCCTCAAAGCTTCATGCGGTCATAGGTGGGTCTTTTTCATAGGTGGCTGAATGTAGAGTGTGTGATGTTGGGATTAAAGTTATGTGATTACTCAATCAGTACACTGATTAGTTTGGCACCACCCTAATTCTGGTAGCCTAGATAAAATATACAAGGAACAGAGAGAAGCTGGTAAGGTTCTTTGTTGCTTTTGCTGTTTGGCCACCATGAACTGGTTCTCCTGTGTGATGCTCTTCTGCCATGCCACCCTAACTTGGAGCCAGCCGATTATGGCCTGAAACCTCTACAAATATAAGCTAAATAAAATTTTCTTCCCTTAACTTTGGGCATCAGATATTTTGTCTCAGCAACAAGAAAAGTAACTCAGACACTGTCACATGTCATCTAGCCTCCATTCAGTTATTTGCAGTAACAAGGTAGGTCATTTCCTTTTTGACAGTTTCTATGAGGATTTAAATGTGTGATGTATTTAGTGTAGTGTCTTGCACATCAGGCATTTTATAAATACATGGTAGTTATTATTGTTTTTGTTACAGTCTCTCCTTTATTGAGTTAAAAATCTGTCTTCCTGAAGTTAATCCCAATTAATTCCAGTTTTAACCTCTGAGAACCCCACTGAACAGGTCTTTGAAAACACAGCCTTTCAAATATTGAGAAATATTATGCAAGCTAAATAGCTACAGGTTTTTAAATCTTTTCTTATGTGGCTTTTTATTAGTTATAGTGGTTCCAGGACCTGTTTGTTCCTCAGGATTATCTGAGGAGATTTTACTAACTAGAGATGCTTGAATTTGTAGGTCTCAGCTAGGGTTCAGACATGCACATTTTTTTAACACACCTCAGTTGATTCTGGCATGTGCAGTTTGGAACTTGTAGCTCTATCATCTGGATGGATAAAACAGAATGGTATGTTTTAGGAAGAAGAGGCTGTAATTTCCTAATCTGGTTCTGTAAAGCAGAATTTCTCAATTTTTATAATCTTAACGTTTTGGTCCAGAAAATTATTGTTTGGGGGGAGGGGTTCCTGTGCATTATAAGATGTTTAGTAGCATCCTGAGCCTCTGCTGACTAGATTCCAATAGCTTACCTTTTCCCTCCCCACTCCCAAGTTGTGAAAAGCAAAAATATCTAGATACTCTAGACCTTGCCAGATGTCCCTTGAGTGGTAAAATCAGCTAAGGTTGAGAAACATTGCCATAACGGATGGAAAAACAATTTTGACAGTTGAAAAATAGCTCAAAAAAGCTTTCAACGTACTTCTTCCTCTCAGTATCCTCTTGGATAGTTTTTTTGGGTTTTTGTTATTGCTTTTTTGCATGGATGTTACAAGTGGCTAGTCACAAAATTTAGGGCTGGATTTTATTTTATTTTATTTTTT